AGAAAGAAAGAAAGAAAGAAAGAAAGATAGAAAAAAAGAAAGAAAGAAAGAAAGAAAGAAAGAAAGAAAGAAAGAAAGAAAGAAAGAAAGAAAGAAAGAAAGAAAGAAAAAAGAAATGGGCCTTACTGTATCACAAACCAAACCATCACCCAGGAGAACCACTGGGTCATGTCTAGAAAGACAGGAAAGTTTAAACTTCTAGCCACTCACCTCTCTGGCTGGGGTGCCTGTCCCTGTGGCTGTAGCAGGCTCTGGCTTGCTAAGGATCCAGGGAAAAAGGCTGGGTTTCCTGATACTCAGAAAAGTCAGCCAGGGGTGGTTTAAGAGTATTTTACATACAATAGGACCAACTTCAGCTGATTGTCAGGCCCAATGGAGAGGCTCAGAGCTATCTTTCCGTTGGATCCCATCCAGAAGGCTACACTGCAGGCCACCCTGGAGGAGCAGGGGGGCCAGGCAATGTCCACACTCCCCACCTCTTTAAGGTCAAGGATGAGCCCCTTCTGTCGGTGACTTGGGAAAGAGACCCCTGCAAAGGCCTTGGTTTAGCTCAGTGGCAGAGCACTTGCTGAGTGGGCTCCAAGCCCTGACCTCATGCACCCACTTAAAACAAGCAAGATCCTTTTAGGTTGTCATGAAGCAAGAAGAGATTGGACCTGGTGTGGAATAGCCAGGGCTGGGGGCCAGGAACAAGCTAGGCAAGATAAGATGGGGAAAGGGCTTTCCAGGCAGGGGAACAGCAAGGGAAAAGTCTTGAGGGAAAAAGTTTCACAATGAAGGAAGAGGGCAGTGGGAGGCTCTGGGGTCCCAGAGGCAGGTGGGGCCACACCACGAGTTGCTTTTCTTGGAGCCCAAGAGGAGTGGGAGCCACTGGACAGTTTTCCAGGAAAGAATGGGTGCCTGTGATGCCCAGGGCTGGGGGTGGGGGCGTCCCTCCCTCCTGAGACACACTGCCCCCTTGCTGTCCTACACACAAAGCCACTCCAGGCCTTTCCTGGCTTTGCACGGCCACCCATGCTGCTGCTCAGATATCCCCATGTTGCATCCCTCACCTGTGTCAAGCCTGGCTTGTCCTGTCATGGAGCTATCCCCTCCCCTTCCTGCAGGGATCCCTGTTCCCCTAGAGAAACATGAGAGTCTCTAACCAAGGTATAATTTGCATAGCTGTTCGTTTATTCAGAATTTTTGTTGTTGTTGTTGTTTGCTTTTTGTTTTTTGAGACAGGGTCTCACTATGTAGTGAGACTGACCTGGAACTATGTAGCTCAGGCTGGTCTCGAACTCACAGCGATCCTCCTGCCTCAGCCTCCCGAGTGCGGGGATTACAGGTGTGCGCCCCCACCCCTGGCCTCAGATTTTTTTTTTTTTTTTTTTTTGGTGGTACCAGAGATCAAACTCAGGACTTTGCACTTGTGAGGCAGGCATAGTGACACTGAGCTAAATCACCAGCCACCCCCCCTTTATTTATTTATTTATTTGGTACTGGGGATCAAACTTGGAACCTTGCAATTTCGAGGCAGGCAGTGGAACCACTGAACTAAATCCCTGGCCCACTTTTTTTTGGGGGGGGGCATCAGGAATGGAACTCAGGACCTTGCACTTGCCAGGTAGGCATGACACTACTGAGCTTCATCTTTGGCCCAAAGATGAATGAATGAATGAGCTTTGTTTGTCTTCTTCCTTTCTTTCTTTCTTTCGCAGGGATCGAACTCAGGACCTTGCACTTGCAAGGCAGTGTTTATTTGTGAACGTTATATCCAGGAGGGTTTGGGTCTGTCTGGCTCACTGCCAGTCCTCGGTGCCCGGAACTGTGCCCCAGCACTGGTAGGCGCTCAGCAGTTACTTCTGGAATGAATGAAGCCAAGAAGAGGCCACAGAGGGAGTCCAGACCCGAGGTGGTGGTGGCAGTGCGGGGGGGGCCGGAGGGGGGGCCTCGGACAGGAAGGACCCAGATGTCGGGCTGGGCGTCCACAGCCAGCTCTTTGCACCCCTTGCATGTTTTGTCCTGTGGAGCTACCAGTCCTGGAATCCCAGGCCCAGGCCGGCCCCCTTTCTCCCCTTCCTTCCTGTCTATTTGGCATCATTATCTGAAATAAACCTAAGGAGCAAAATGTCATTTCGGAATCTATGCCTAGATCCCCAAATTCTCTGCAAAATGTGAATAAGCAGCCAACCTAAACTTACCTAGAACTTAGTGTATCGTTTTCACTTCCATTTTGAGGTATAATTTGTATATTGTGGTGTTCTCCCCCTTTATAATGTTTGGCTACCTGGTTCTTAGTGTATTGATCACCATCACCACTATCTAACTCTAGAACATTTTCCTCACCCCAGAAAGAACTCCAGTAACCATTAGGGTCGCACTCCGTTTCCCCTCCACTCCACCAATTTTCTATTTTCAGCCTCGGTGGCGCTGTCTGTTCTGCATGTTTCATAGAAATGGACTGCTCCACCGCAGGGGCTTTTGGGTATAATGTTTGTGAGGTTAACCCAGGTCCTAGGACATTTCAGCCTTCCGTGCCTTGTTCTGGCCGAGTATCCCATGGTATGGACGGCCCGAGATTTGTCCACTCACCCTTCGAGGGACAGACTTCTCCCGCCACTCTGACCATCACGGCTGCCAGGATCATGTGGCGCAAGTTTCATGTGGGCACACACTGTATTTTCAGTTCTGTCGGGTGCATGCCTAGCAGGAGTGGAACTGAGTCACTCGGAACCCCTATATTTAGCCTTTTGAGGAACTGCTGGGCTGTTTTCTGAAGCTTCACCTCCATGAGGCTTTGCTGATGAGGAAACTGGCGGTGGGAAGGAAAGAAGTGGGATCTTGAGCTCATTCTTGGGGGCAGGGAATGGTGGGCCTGGGCCCGGGGCTGCTGTAAAGCTCTGAGTACCGTGTGAGTCACTGGCCTAGGCCCTGGAGTCACCTCTGAGAGCCAGGCAGCCGCAGTCACTGCCCTCTTGGAGACAGTTGCCAGGGGAAACCAGGAGGTGGAGAATCAGAATATCAATAAGCACAGCAGTGAAGGCACTGAGAGGGTACCCATTAATGTACCCCATCCTCTGCACAGTGACTAAGAAGTCGTGCTGGGAGCCAGCCTGCCCAGGCTCCAATTCCCACCACTTAGAAACTGGGGGAACTGGGCAGTTTTCCTAACCTCGCTATGTCTCCATTTGTCATGTGGAAAATGGGCAGAATAATAGTGCCTGCTTTGAGGGTTGTAGGGTGAGTTCAAGCCACCAAACCCTATGAAGCTCTTTAAAACCTGCAGTACCAGGCATGATGGTGCACACCTATAAACTCAGCACTCAGGAGGCTGAGGCAGGAGGATTGCCAAGAGTCCGAGGCCAGCATTGGCTATGTAGTGAGTGCAAGGTCAGCCTGAACTCCATAGCAAGATCCTGTCGCAAACAAAAACAACAGGTGTACTCAGCCTCAAACACATACCAGCAACCAGTGAGGCTGCTACTTCTCTGTCTGACATCCACTATCCCCACACACAGACCCACTGCCTCTACACACAATGCCCCCCACGCTCTGCTCTAACAACCTGCTGTTTGGCTTATCAGGGTCAAACTCCCCGTCAAAACACCAGGCTGGTCTGGCACAGAGAAGGAAATGCTTTTCATGTACACATCCTCTCTCTTGAACCAGATTGTGAGCTCCTTGAGGCCAGAGCTTGTCACTGCTGTAGTGCTACAAAATTCGGGGAAGAAAAAGAGGCAAAGTTGCAGAGCGGGGGCCAAACTGATCACCCATTATCCAGCTCTGCTCCCTGGAGCTGCCAGATGGGATGGCTCCTGAGACAGCCCAGACCTCTCTTACTCATCTGCAAAGTCTGGATGGAGCAGTGCAGGCCAGGCTGGGCAGTGCTGCCAGGGAGCCAAGGCCCCGCAGACCCAGGGAAGGGCAGGAAGTCCATGGGGTCAGGAGGGAAACTGCCCGGGCGTGTCCTCTGATCGCTGTCCCGCAGTGCGCTGAGCACAAGGGATCTGCTGTTTGGTGATCTTCCCCTCCCAGCCCTACGGATGCCTCTCTTGCTGTTCTCACTGAACAGGAACTGGAGCAGAAGTATTCAGTTCACTGCGTCCAGGGAGTTAATAAGAAACGTACATGGGGTGAGGTTGTGTAATCCCAGGCTTCCATGCCTTGTCACCAGCCCCTGGTTCCAAGATGATGCATGTTCTCTGCTGACCTCTACTCCTGAGAATTTCCTGAGTAGGCTTTAATGCACACAGAGTTATGACAGAGGATATTTTTTAAATTTCCTGCTATGGATGATGGCAAACACCTGTAATATCAGGTACTCAGGAGGCTGAAGCAGGAGGATTTTATGTTTGAGAACAGTCTAGGCAGCTCAGCTAGGAGGGCCTATTTCAAAATAAAAAGAGGAGAATAGCTCAGTGATAGAGCACCTCTGGGTTCCATCCCCAATATCACACACACACACACACACACACACACACACGCGTGCACACACACACGTACAGTGCACACAGTACCTTCCCCTTCCTGATGCCCTTAAACGACCACCCACCAGCAAGGTGCATCACTGGCTGTGTCTTCACAAGGGTGCGCAGAATCATGCTTGCCTTGGAAAGGGGGTCTTTCCTCCAAGTGAACTACATAAGCTTGAGTTCCTTATTTGTACTGAAAGGAGATCACAGGATTTTTTTCTACTGCATGAGCAAGAATCTAAAAGTCATGGGCTGGGGATGTAGCTCAGTGGTGCTGTACCTGCCTGGTAAGTGCAAGGTCCTGAGTTCAATCCCCAGAACTGGAAAAGAAAAAAAAAATCACACATATATTTTAAATGGTTCCCTTTTTTTGGTTGTGTGGCAATTTCAAGAGGCTAGGTTACTATCCCTGTCAAACAGCAGAACCTACTTCACTCTGGTTTGTGTTTCAGAGTCACAGCTAAGCTAGGGAGCTTTGTGCAGGCCAACCCTCCGGATATAAAAAGTCTGCAGAACTTGGAGGAATTGCACTCATTTGACAAAGGTGGAATTAAAATCGACCTTTGTGTAGCAGACTCCTCCGAAGATAGGACGAATGAGTTGTGTGATCAAGATCAAGGGCAGGGGGGATTTCCTAATGATTTAAAGAAACTTATGAGAAAAACACTTCACTAATCAGTCTATATTTTGCCCAAAATTGGTAAAATTTGACCATGAAATTAATAATTGATCATAGGCAGAAAGAGTTGGCTTCCCTCTAATGGTGGCTAAAATTGGGCAATGAGGAAAGATGACTAGGAAGGCAGAAAACAGAAGAGGAATGAGCTGGTAAACACTGAACT